GAAACCGAAGAGATTTCGGGAAACGAATAAATTTTTAAGTGTCCCAGAATTTATGAAAACAGCTGTAAATCGCAAAATTTATGATCATTTCGTATAATTTTGAGTGTTTGGCATCAGGCGCATAATTTGGCATCGCATAATGCTCCCTAAGGTACCTCTGATTGAACAAATCGGATAAAAAAAACGGCTCGGCTTGTATAACATAAAAACCCCTAAAAAATTTCTCTATCAGGCCAATCAAAATTCATGATCAAGTGTAACACTCAAAACACTAACGCTAATAGCAACTTTTTTAAGTTGATAACGTTTAGGGTCTTATTAGTCGAGCCGTTTAGTCATTTTGCATCTCTAGTAATTATATAATATCAGATATACAATTTATATATTTATTACTGGTAAGAAATTATTATAAACGAAATTATATATCACTTAAACGAATTAATTACGTAGTCTAAATATATATAGTTTATAGGATAAATATTTACTGTTTACAATGAATATTGAATAACATGAAATAGAAGTTAAAATGTTCATCAAAATAATGTTTTATTTACACCTTTCTCTGAATTTGGTATACTTCATAATCCACTATCTCAAATTCGCTTGAAGATTGTCGCAATTGTTTCTCATATACCTGTGGTAAATTTGAGATGTTGCAGAGACAACGCTTTTGGAGATTGGGTCCAATCATTATTAAATCATTTCCAAAGGAAGGACCATATTCCAATTCCTAAATAAAAAAAATGATAATGTTTAGTAACTAAACGTTTATGAATTTACTAATGATGACAAAAATGTATTCGATAATTACCCAACTCACAGCTTTTGCAACAGTGACAACACGACTAAGGATTGCATCTTGAAAATCATTAGTCGGAAAAGAAAAAATGAAACTATCAGATGTCTTTCCCCATACACAATCTACCCGTTTCCATTCTATTGGATTGTAACCTAAATCAATAATCAAAGTCCATCATTAGATTTCAAATAACTTATGAAATAAAATAAAAAAAATCTTGACCAAAAATAAAAATATACCTCCGAGAATTTCATCAGAACCTTTAATTTTCATAACAGAAACGGTATTTTTTATGCCATCACATTGGTTATGAAAATTTGTTGCTAAAAAGCCATCACGATTTCCCCGAAAAAGTAAACGGAAATCATAAGGATTTTCATTAATATTATAAGGTTTAAAATGTAAAGAATCTTTATCCTTTTTATCTATCCAGCTAGATATGTAAGCAGCATGTTTGGAAGTGAGAATTATTGAATCGATATTTGGCCCAAGACGTGGACCCAAAATTTTGCAAGTAGGTCGAAGACTATCCATAGAAAAATAATTTTTCAAATCATCATAAACCTTTGGTTGAGAAATTTTCAGAAGTTTTTTGTATGGTAATAGATGAGTACGATAATTCTTGGCAGAAAATTGAAAAAATCGAACTAATGGCAGACAATCCTTGAGAGTTTTTGCCAATGATTCGACATCATCCTGGCTCCATAATGAAGGATCAAATTTCAATGACGAGTTTTTGTCAAGACCCCATTTCAGCAAATAGTTCCAAAGTTCAACTTCATCTATTTTTAGATCGTCCCGAACAAGAATTTCGCGTAACAATTTCTCAGGAAGACATGTAAAATCGGCAGCCAAGAAAACTACCTCAGGGGAGTTGTTGACGGTATGAGCGCAGAATGCACGTAGCTGTTCAAAGGTTTCATATTTATTACTCACATGATAAATATGAGCAAAATGCTCATTTAACCAGTTACCATGTTGCTCAATGATGAAAGATTGTATGCTGTTGACGAGATCAAGGGTAAGTTTTTCAGCCCCAAGTAATAATTCAAGGACTTCTGATCCTGATCTATGGCCCAAGCTGACCCTTCCACTATAGAAATAACTTTTATTGCAAAATTTTAACGACTTAGCGAAAAAGGAAGGTAGAATGACTTCTAATAAAAATTTTCTTGAAGCCAGAAAATTACTTACCTTAGCAAATCCTCAAAGATCTCACCTGAAATGTCTGGGAGCTCGATATTTTCGTTATTATCATCTTCGGACAAGAGTTCTCGAAAATATTGAGAACGTGAGTAAAGGACAAATCTGTGTGACCGGAACGTTTTCGCGTTAGGTGTTCCTTGTTCGGTCGTTATCGTAATGTCCGTGAATCTCTTTTCCTTGAAAGAAGCTAACAGATCTTCACCAAGGGTAGGATAAAGTTGAGCCGACATTTTTTTATAAACAAAGGTAACCGTGATAAAAATCGCAGGTCAAATATAGAATTCGGTTGTATTGACGAGTGTGAAGTTGACTGAATCTTGCTATTATATAGCATTATCACGAGATACACGAGATACCGGATAAGATGCAAACTACACCGATATGTACATTGTGCTAAATATATCGTAGTTTGTGTAATATGGATTCCAAAATAGTCTATGTCCTACGAAATTTGTTCTAGAAATTTAAAATGTGGAATATTCACATTCTATTACGTATTCGCGTAACACCAGGAACTTTCATTATTTTCAGTTGATTTTTTTCTCCTTAATATTGGAAATTACAACAAAGGTTCTTATTCACAAAGGTCTTCTTCGCAAAGGTTCTTATTCACAAAGGTTCTTATTCACAAAGGTTCTTATTCACAAAGGTTTTTAAATTTCCATGACGTAAATTATATTGAATGAGAAATTTTTTATGGGCTTTTCATATTGTCGGATTTAGACGAAAATCTGAATTTTTTTAGCTCTAACAATAGTATCTGGTATATAAATCACTAGTCTAATAAATTTCGCTATGTCATGCGATTAAAAATCATCCAATTAAATTTCACGATATTAATGTTAACAAAACTTAATTATTTAAAAAATAAAGTTCAAAACCAAATTCAAAATAATCAAATTGCCTAATCTTTTATAAATTTTATTAATATAAATTTGACCGCATTAATTGTAAAAACTTTTTCTAGTTGAAAATTGATTTTGAACTTAAAAGAAATATAAAACTATTTTATAATTGTTATGCCTTTAACAATTGTAAGTAAATTATTAATATGGTATTAAAAAAATATAATATAAAAAAAAGAATAAATATATACATTGCGCCCTGCGATGTTACTAATTTTCGCTTCACAGTAATTATTATAATTTAATAAGATACACTTAGTTTCGCTTTTAAATACGTATACATGATCATGTGATTAAAGAACAAAAAGTTATTCAAACGAAATGACATTATTAATAGATATGGACGAAATGATTGTCATATAATACAGTAACACTTTTCTTGAGTTGTAGCCATTATAAAAACTACACAATCGTTGCTTATAAATTAACAAATTACGCCATCATGCGATACACATACTTTATCGCATAGTAAACAATCGCAAATCACAAATTCAGGGCCATATAAATTTGATCTTTCATCACATTCAAATCACCAAATTAGAGCCTCATAAACCTTCGCTTTTATATTACCAAATTTAGAGCCTTATATATCAGATTTTTATCGCTTTCACCTTAACAAATTTAAAGCCTATTAAATCTGTTGTTTTATCACTTTGCGTCACCAAATCTAGAACCTTATAAGTTGGTTTTTTCATCGCTTCACCTTGCAAATTTAGAGCCTTATAAGTTTGGTTTTCTTGTTGCTCTTATTTCATCAAATTTAAAGCCTTATACGTCTAGTTTTTTTTTAACGCTTTCAAACTACCAAATTTAAAACTTCATAAGTTGATTTTTTCATTGCTCTTATCTTACCAAATTTGGAGGTTGGCTTTTTTTCGTCACTCTCATTCTACCAAATTTAGCTACATAAATTTAGCTGTTTTTTATCGCTTTACTAAGCTCAGAGTCTCATAAGTTTATTTTTTCTGCTTTTACCTTAATAATAACCATGAAACCAAATGAGACTATTATAACAGACGACATTTCAAACTATAATCTGAAAAAACTAACAGAAATAGAAAGATATGTCTGTTCTGATAATATTGAATATTCTGTGCAAGCATCGATTAAAAATGTTAGCAAAGAGAATAATGATAATGAGACATTAGCTTACCAGATAAATGTTGACTTAGAAAACTACGATAGTGATACGCTAGCTACTACAAATAGTAAGGTGATAGTTGCTTCTGAAAATATACCTGCAGATACTATATTCGATTCATGGACGGATGTTGAAACTTTTTTTGAGGATTATGGAAAACGAAAAGAATTTGCTATAATCAAATATCGCGTAGAGAAAAATAAATCTGGATTAATTCATAAACGAACTTTTATTTGTGAATTTGGAGGCAAATACAAGCCTAACAAGAATCAAATAAGTGCTCAAAATAGCAAACAACGGAATACAAAAACAAAAAAAGTTAATTGTCTATAGCATGCAAACCTTTCTTATAGAGAATCTGGAACATATATTTCTATTACCACAATTGTAAATGAGCATAATCATAATATCAACCTCGATACCCAAGAATTTGGGTTTAAATACTGTTCTCTTAATGAAGATACTTTGAAAGAGGTAGAAATTATGACTAAATATAAGAACCTATCTATTACAGTACAACAGAGTATACTAAAAGGGCGTTTCCCTGATTTGAATTTCCAGGATAGTGACCTTAATAATGCTATTCAAAAATTTAAAAGAAAAGAAACTATAAATAAGACGAATGATACATCTGACCTGCTTAGTTACTTGTTAGTAAACAAAATGAGCGATCCTAGGTGGTCTGTAGAATTTGAATTGGATGAAGATAATCAACTTATACGACTATTTTGGATATCACCTGAGCAAATCGATCTATGGTTGAAATATTATGACGTAGTTATCAGTGATAATACAGCCAAAACTAATATATATAAAATGCCTTTAGGGTTATTTGTAATTGTCGATAATAATGGAAAAACACAGCTTGTTTGTCAAGCCTTAATAAGCAATGAAACTCTTGATACCTATATTTGGGTTTTAACTTGCATAAAAAATATAACACAAATGGAACCTTCTATTATATTTACTGATGCAGACCTAGCACTTGATGCTGCGATACGTATTACCTTTCCCAAGACTTATGCTGCGCACTGTATCTTTCATATTGAGCAGAATTTACCTAAAAACCTTAAGTCTAAACTAGATAATAAATGGGAAGATTTCATGAAAACATTTTATAAGTACCGTAACAGTCTCTGTGAGCCACTTTTTCAAAAACGCTAGAATGATATGATTAATAAATATCTGATGGCAAAAGATTACTTATTGCGTATTCTGTATTCAAGTAGTCGGTCTTGGGCTCATGCATATCTTTCAAAAATATTTACAGCTAGCATTAAAAGTACGTCTTGAGTTGAATCTTATAATTAGGTCATAAAAAAAGAAATCAAATCTAATTGTACATTGTGTGAACTTGTGGATCATATTGATCAATGTCTAAATGCAGAGACACAATGGAATAAATTTCATCAGTATAAGAATTCAATAATGTTTGCAACCACATCTACTACTGATAATGACCTTTTCTCAATAGTAACTAAAAATATTGACAAATATCTCACAGAAGCTGTTAGTAGTATAATTAAGGATGAGATAACACAGTGTCTGTTTCTTACAGCTAACATAATTGAACTAACACTTGACGAATTTAATTCTGAACAAGAGGTTGAAGAAGAAATTTCATGTAGATTTCTTGAAGATAACTATGATGCATGCAAAATTACTCTTAATGCTATAATAGACGAAGTCAGAAGAGAAAATATCAAAGAAATCTAGAGGGTTTTTGATATTAGAGAAAAAAATTATTTTGTACATTTTATAGTTATTTTAAACCTAATATCCTTCTTATGTTCATGCCTTATAATTATTTCAAGAGGACTTACCTGCTGGCATTATTTTCATGTAATGATATACTCAAAAATTGCAGCCTTTTACATATCAATGATTTCTTCACGATGGTGCAAGGACCTCTATCAAGAAAATCAGACATATAAAGATGAGAATATTATATACAATTACGAGAAGAGCAATATTGAAACATGTGATAATAGAGAAGTTTTTCTAATCCAAAGGCTATCTACAGTTGCAGTAACAACTCCGCCTACAAAAAAAGCTTTACAGAAGAGAAATCAATATAGCAGAGTTTGAGGATTAGCTCGTGAGGCAACGTTGTTAGCAGTAGATACTGATGATAACGAGATTCTTAATATTCTTCAAAGCTATATAACAAGGAAAAAAAATGAAAGGGACATATCGAATAATAACACACAAAACAAAGAGAAGAAAAAAAGTCCTTTATATCCGATTAATATACAAGATGCTTCCAATTTGCAGAAATTTTCTTAATCTATTGATGATCATGCTATGAATGAAAATCAAATCACATCAGAAAAAAAAAATGAAGACAGCTATAATGAAGTATTGGATAGTGATGAAACAATTAGCATCCAAGTTCCATAAAGCATTCAAAATCTACTTCATATTATTAGAAAAGGAAGACCATCCAAGCGTCGTTATATGAGTAGTATAGAAAAGGAACAAAATTGAGAAGGAACTTCTCCTAGGGGCTCTTATAGGTATCATCAATGTGGAGAAGTAGGTCATAACGCAGCTTATCACAAGCGAAGGAGAGACAATAATTAGTGAAAATACCAAAATTAGAATATCAATATGTAGGCTTATTTCCTAAATTAGTCTGATTCTTCTGTGCTGTAATACAAACATTTTGCTATTGGAATCAACATTAGATGTTGTTATAACTTGAATTAGTTAAATCATATTAAGCATGCTAATATTAACTACGTATATTTAGCTATTGTATTTTGGTGTTTTTGCCAAGACAATTTCATAAATAAATTTTTTATTGATTTACTCGGTACACCTGAACTTAAACTTTAATTGGTAGACTAAATTTTTTAGATAATAACTAGAAATATTACAATGTAACTTAAGTACAGATAGTCACTTTACTGAAAGGACATATTCCTGACAAAGTTAGTATAATGCTAGCTGATTTAGTTAGTATGATATTCTTTCAGAAAAGTGATTTTCAGAAAATTGTACAGTAATTAGAATATAGCTCAGATGATTTGGGATAGCTTGAACTATATCATAGTATTAAATTGGCTTTTACGTATTTATTACTTTATTATTATTGTCAAAGTTGCTTAAGACTAATTATTATATAGTTTGAATCAACTAAATAGTTTAGGCTATATCTCTAATAGTTATGTAATTTCAAATTATTGATGCCTCTTATTATAATATCAAAGTACAAGTTTTCAAAAGTTGTGAATAAAATTCTAACAAATGTAGCTGATTTTGTTAGAAAATTATTATAATTATTATTAGTCTTATATCGATATATGTTTAATTAAAATTTAATTTAAAAAGTGATAAATAATTGCATCACCCCCTGGATGCAATAAATATTTATATTGCGAAGTGTGATGTCTAATTAAGTCCTAAAAAAAAAAAATTTTCGAATTTAAAAAAAAGGCAATTGCTAATTTTAACCAGAGAGATTTTCTCTGTATGATATTAGCCAATAAATTTGCAGGATCAGGTATAATGTGTTATGTAACAAAACAAAGAAATTTTTAAAAAAATGCCAATATCTCAAAATTTTGCCTATGAAACCACTTTTTGGGTTCTAACAAAAAAAATTCCTTGCTAAATTTTGCATATTCTAATGCCTAGATAAAATCTCAGGCTATACCCTAACCCTAAAGTAAAAGAAAAGAGTTTTTTTAAAATACGATTTATTAGCTAATATTATATAGAGAGGGGAAATCCTCCTAGTTAAATGTAGTTATTTTCTAAAAAAAAATTTAAAATATTTTATTTAAAATGCTTTGTTATTATAATTTTAGCCTTTTTAAGTATTTTGAATTTTTTGGTTTCTATTATACTATTCATAATTATTTATTATTTTTCATAAAGAATTATAATTTTTATAAATTAAGTTAATCTATTTTTCAATATTCGACTATTAAATATTCATTTCAATGATTGATTTTATATGTTCTATTAATAAATAAAGTTTTTTTTTTTTGCAATTTATAAGTTCTTGATGATTTAAAATATTAATATTAGTTTAACAAAGTTTTTAATAATTTGAAATATTAATATCATTTTTTTTTTAACTATTTCAGATTATAAAATCTGAAATGCGTGTAGCACTCTTTTTATTAATAACTATAAATATAATATTTATATATTAATGAGACTAAACTAAATATTTACAAATTTTTTTATAGATAGGTTTCATGAAATTTTTGTCATGAAATAAATTAATTTTTTTGGAAATTCTGTTTTTTGTTAGAGCTGCTATTGCTTGTTCTGAGTATTTTATATCACCCTATTTACAAGCTGCATAACAATACTAGATATCGTAAACTGTATGTATATATATCTATAAAAGTATATTATAAGTTTTTATGTTTCTTGTATAGTTGGTAAGAAAGATTCTTTCAGTAGAAGATAGTATAGTTTCTGTTCACCTTGTTCTTAAGAACTTATAGGCTTCTGTCTAAATAAATTTGCTGATTTTACAATCTGTAGCTAGATGATTAATTTTTTATATTTGATCTGTATACTAAAGACATTCTCCTGACTCTGTTGTTATAAAGTATTAGAATCTGTATTCTAATAGCAGAGCTCTATAAAAAAGTCACCAGAATATATTTTTTGGAGGATCTAGGCGTATATTCAATCTGTATTCTCAATTTGAGTAACTTGTTTAGAACTATGTTTTTTTAGAAGTTCTATTATAAACCTTACTATAACTTCAGAGGTTTTTTTCTTATCAATTTCTAAATCTGCTAGATTTTAAGGTCATCTAGATTCTGTTATGATCTTTCTCCTGACCTTTTTTTATACTAATAGGTATAGTTTCTAGTTAGTTAGTCAGACTTTAGACCTAATAGATTGAGCGAGTAATGCCTCTTCTATTAAAATATTTCTTTTCTAAAATAGTGAGCAAGAGATTTTTTCTCTTTTAATTTTTGCTCATAGGAAATCACTTGAGATTAGTTTTAGCCAGACTGATATAAGTTTTGCTTCTAGCAGATTGCTAACTATTGGTGTTTGCAAACTTTCTTAGTTATAGAGAAGCAAAAAAGTAGAATATCTTGGTAATATTTTAGAGTTACCTTTGATCTATAGAGTAATAAGCCTATTGATTTCTGCTATTTGTTTTTTGTTAGGTAGTAGTAAGTAGGCTATATACCAGATCTTTGAGAGGATTAAGGAATTTGCTAGTAGAATTCTTCCTTTAAGTGAGAGGTTTCTATAGATAAGTTTTTCTAAACTAAGTTTAAGCTTGCTTATCATTTTATACTACAGATTCTGTTTATATAAACTATTATTTTTTATACTATAGCTCAGAACTGTAACGAAATCTTGTTCTTCTAGTTTTTTGAATTAGGTTTCTTCTGAAAATTCTACTCTTCTAGCAGTATTAGTAAGAGGCATTAAGCAAGTTTTTTGCTTATTAATTCTTGAATTTAAGGTTTTTTCATATTTATCTAATAGATTTAGAACTATTGTTCAATTTGAGAGAGATCTAATACCAATCATCAGGTTATTAGTATATGCTATACATTTAAAGTAATAATTATCAATTTTAATACCAGTAATCTCTTTGTCTATTAAGTTAAGTAGTAGTTCGAATATGAGTACATATAGTAATAGAGAAAGAGGATCTTCCTATCTAACTTCTCTTTCTACTTTGAAGACATTTAATATGTGTTCTGCATCAATAATGTAGGCTTCTTGACTATTAAAGAGGTTTCTTACTAAATCTCTAAATTTCTCATTAAAGTTCATTTTCTTTAAGACAATTTGTAGAAATTCATGACTTATTCTATCAAAGCTTTTTGCTGGTCTACAAAAAGTATTTAATAGTTTTTAAATTCATCTTTCTGATTTTTTTGGAATCATGAGAATATCTAAAGCTATATTTGTGATTAGTTTTTTTGCGATGAAACCTTGTTGGTGTTGAGAGACTATTATTTCACAGATTGTGTTCAGCCTATTTACAATAATCTTCATGAAGATTTTTGTATCACAGTTTACTAAAGATATAGATCTCTAGTTGTTTATATTATGGAGTTCTTTTGATTTCTTTGGTATTAATATGATTAGATTCTTGCACTATGAAGAAAACATTATTCTTGTATCTAGAATTTGGTTGAAAATTAATTCTAAAGCTAGAGTAATAAGTTCTTTAGTGAGTTTGTAGAACTCATATATGAGGCTGTCTAAACTTGGAGATTTGTTATTTGATAGCTTTTTAATTGTTTTTATAATTTCTTCTTATAAGATATATTCTACTAATTTGCTATTCATTTGTGATAAAGTTTGCAGGAGGTCTTCAGTAATTTGCTCTGCTATTCTCTAGTTAATTTCTTCTTTACTATAAATTAAAGTATATTGTTTTTTAATATAGTTAAGTACTTCTTTCTCATTGTTTTGTATTTGCGATAAGGGAATTTGAATTTCTGCAAGAGCAAAGCTTGAATTTCTACTTTTATAACGAGTATAAAAATATTTAGTAAATTTTTCTTCTATTTTTATTTACTTCACTTTTAAGCATTGTTGCTATCTATTTGCTAGATTTGTTAGCTCTGTTTGGATTTGTGAATCTAATGTATCCAAAGTAATATAAAGATATATTCTGTTAGAATTTTTTGCTATTGCTTCTTTTGTTTGACTAATCTTTTTGTTTAGACTTTCAATTTTATCTTCAAGAGCTTTAGGCTTTTTAAATACCT